GGTGGGAAAGGCGTGCTTACAAGTCCAATCCATCAGCAGGGTGAGCTGCTGCAAAGGATCCTGAGCCCGAGAGTAAGAGACCTTGGGACCCTAAGAGTAGGAAAGTATTGTAGGATGTGGTTTTCAAACGCCCCTACAGAATGTTCTCTGTGAAATAAATGTAAGGACAGTCCTGGGTGTCCCCCACTGCACAGTTCCTGGTTTTCTTTGTGGGAGTCCAAGTTTAGCGATCTGCAATAAACTCCCCATAAAATGGTCTGTCCTTTATGCACAGGGAATCCTGACCCTGGGTGACATAAGAAAGGAAACACAAGAAAGGCAGAGACAGTGAAGATATGTATCTGTAGGGTAGGAATATGTTTGGTGCATGTGTTGAGGGGAGGTACACGGGTACCTGTTCTTCCACATAAGTGTATGAATGCATGGAGAGTAACAGGAGAAATGGGGAATCATTGCAGACCTCTCTCTTCCCCTCTCTTTTTTCATCTTGTTTCTCATTAACCCAGAGCATTAATGGATATAATTTTCCTCCCTGTTCATCTTATAATCACTTTCATAGCTATATAATGTTACATTTTGACAGGCACTAAATTGAATAAACAAAGTTTCACAACACAGCAGTCCAGATTTGCTAACAGGCATACAAATGAAGAAGCAACAGAGAAAGAATTGGTAGGGATTGAAATATATATAAACCAAGTTATCAGTATCTCCATGACCTTGAATGAATCACACACCTTTCTCTAGTTCATTCATTAAAGCATCATTTTACTCAGCAAGTATCTATCATATGCCAGGTATCTGTACTAAGCACTGAGAATTTGTTTATTCACTCATTCAACAAATGTTCATTAAGTCCCTACTATGTGCCAAGCACTGATCAAGTTGTTGGGATGCAGCAGTGAATAAAATAAGAAAAGTTTCTGCCTTCATGGAGCTTAACATGCTACTGGTGTGGGCTAGGGCTAGAAGAGATAATGAACAAATAAATATACAATATGTTGGGTGGTAAGTGTTATGAAGACTAAAGGGGATAAAGAGATTAAAAGGGCCATGGGTAATATTTTATTCAATCATCCCTAGGTATCTGAGGGAGATTGGTTCCAGGACTCCGCACAGATACCAAAATTCAAGGATGCTCAAGTTCTTTATATAAAATGGCATAGTATTTGCAAATAATCTACACACATCCTCCCATATACTTAAATCATCTCTGGATTACTTACAATACCTAATTCAAATTTGACACAACATTGTAAAATGACTATAACTCAATAAAAAAAGTTAAAAAATAATAATAATACCTAATTCAATGTAAATGCTATGTAAAAAGTTGTCAGTGTGTAGCAAATTCAAATTTTGCTCTTTGGAAACTTCTGGAATTTTTTTCCCAATATTTTCAGTCCATAGATGGTTGAATCTGTAGATGCATGTGTGGATATGGAAGGCCGATGTACAGGAAGTGTCAGAGGGCCTTGAGGGAGCTGAACTTTAAGCAAAGGCTTGATAGAAGCGAAGGAGGGAGACATACAGATGTTTGGGAGAGAGCACATCACAAAGAATATAATAGGAATGACTCCTCATTATAGACAAAAGCCTTTTAAGTTGCCTCAGATTCCTTCTGGAAAGAGACAATGTGTCAATCAACCCTAAGGGCCTCACCTACCCAACATGGACAACCGAAGGTGAGGAAGAAATAAGACTAATTTCAAAGGAATTCTTTTTTAAGCCTAGAAGGCTATTTAAATATTAGGTGATGCTATTTATTAGTCACTGGTTTCCAGTCAACAATCAGGACAGACTATGTATATCTATCTGTCTTTGAAGGACTTAACCATAAATAAAATTGGTGCTGCCTGAGTTCAAAAGCCAATTCACATGCCAGGAGTCCTAGGATTTGGTGGTTTACAGTCTAACCTGACCAGAATTACATGCTAGGCCTGCAGTCTGCATGCTCACAACATCTCATATATACTATTTCCTGTTGCATTTGATTAGGTGACACTGAAATCTCCTAACCAAGAAGCGACCTGGCATTCTTTATTTACAAGGAAATCACTGGTTAGAAAATTCCTTAGCTTCTGGCAACGGTTCAGCCAAATTCATTAGCACAAGTTAACTTTATTTCCAGTACTGGTGCAATTCTAATCGGATAGCAAGAAGGCGAATCCTCTAGCTGTAATGATACTCCTGTTCAAAATGTTCTAACCTTCCAGTTTCTCTTAAATTTTTCCCTAAATGTAACTTTGAGGGATAATCGAGAACATACACACACGAATTCAGTCAGAATGTGGCATTTTGGAAGAAAACCCCAGCTGAGTACACACCAGTGTGTTTCAGCTTTGCTACAAGAGAAATCGTTATGCATTATACATGGACTATAAAGACATTTTTTGTAAGCCTTCCTTTAAAATATTTGAATTTCAGGACTTAAAATGTTCCATGTGTTTAGTATTTCTTGTTCAGCTAGACTAAAGAAAAGTGGTTGCAAATTCAGTCTCAGCGTATGTGTGGTATGTTTCAGGAATGTTTAATATATTATTATTTCTGGAGCTATGGAGTTTGTGAACACAACTTTTACATTCATCACTGGTTGTAGTCAAGGGGTCACTCATTCAATATATATTTATTGAGTACCTACTACATGCCAGGCCCCTTTTTAGGTATGGAAGATACAACAGCAAACAAAGTCCACACGTCAGAGGAAACAGACCATAAATGGATCTATAAGTAAATATAAGGTAATGTCAGGTAATGAAGAAATTCTTCCTGCTTTAAGCAAAGAAAGGGAATATGGGTGAGACTGCTATTCTAAAGGAATAGCCATTCCACTTAAGTCTTATTTGAGTAAAGACCTTAAAGGATCCTTTTGCTTATCTGGGGAAGATGGAGTGCCCCCAGGCACTGCTGGAATTCCTGGAAAAACCTAAAGGCCAAGTGGGCAGGACTGAGCGAGTGAGAGGGTGAGCTAGTAATTGGAAATGAGGTCTTACCTAGAACCACATGTCACCATATGTTCCTGGTGCCCCCAAAGTGGAAGAACCACTGAGCCCACAGTCCAGTTTCATTTGAGGGGGGGGGTTCAGTGATAATGAATTGTAAGGAGACCGTGCTATAAAACTACAGTCTCCTCATTTTCACTTTACTCCTTATAAAAATGGATATGTGTTGCTTTATCTTCTGGATTCATGTACCCATTCATTTCACCTGCCTGAAATGCCCTTTTGACTCCTCTCCCTGTTCAATGTCTCCCATATTTCAAAGCTTAACTTAAGCTCTACCTCCTATAAGAATCCTCCCTTAACTCCCCTGACCAACGACACTCAGTGGCCCTTCTGGAGCTGTGACTGGAGTTTAGGATTTCCTTGCCATCAATCAACTGGTGTTCAGGGCAACCCTCAAATTGAACAGGAAAGAGTTTATGTGTAATTCTGTGTGTGTTTTCCTGAAAAGAGTGTTCATAAGTCCCATGAGATTTTAAAATGAGTCCGTGATTTAAGGATTGAGAACCACTCCTTTTGACTAGTGCTTCTCACACACCATATGTGCACATGAACTATCTAATTTCATTAAAATGAAGATTCCAATTCAGTAGCTCTGGAGTAAAGTTTGATGCTGTTGGTCCCAGGACCATACTTGGTGACAAGAGGCTATTGTATTTCTAATCAACACTTGTTTGCATACACTGGCTTGTTGCTCTCTGCCCCTTAAGTAGATTGCAGGTTTCTGCTGACACTTCTTGGCTCTTCTCCCACAGCTGGGGCTAACAGAAAAATAGCCCACAGTTGGGCCTGACAGATGCTTGCTCTACATATATGAGTGCACTAATTGAACCTGATTAAAATATCTTCTCTACGTCTACCTTCCTAGTCTCACTTAGGCTTCTAAGGTTACCACCAGTTTTCAAGACTAAACTTTTCTGTAACCCAGAGTAGAATCTCCGAACCCCTAAAATATTCCTAAAGCAAAGCTATTCTCTCTCCCGTATTGAAATCAAAATCCATCAAACCTAAAAGCCATCATAGTACAGGAAATGCCCTCGCTTGAAATGATACTCCACCATATAAGGGCATTCTCCCTCACTGGAGATGTGCAACACCAAGATGTTCAGTAAAAGTAAATAATGTGGAACATCAAAGAAGCCAGAATAAATCAAATCAGCACCACCAGGCCCTTGAAGGGGTAGCTTCTAGATAAACTGCTTAGAGCCCAAAAGTTAGGTCCCATCATAAAGAAAGGGCTGAGAGGGAATGTCTCTAGAAGTTGAGGAAAGGTGTAGAAAAGTGAAAATGGGGTTTGGGAATAAAATTACTACCTTAAACAACCTGCCACTCTATATTTGCAGAAGCTGTAAAAAGAAGTTACTTAGTCATGTGGAAATAAAGTGTTTTTAACAGCAGCTAACAGCAGAGCAAATGAAAAATGTTTTACACACAAGACACATGTGTAAAGAATGTCTGTGTGCAAAAGGAATTTTTCATGTGGTATTTAATAAATATATATACATACTATATGTACTTATAAAAATACCATGTGCAATGAAAGCTATGCATAAATATTTATAAAATACCCTTATCTAAGTAGGTCAGTAATAAATTCATACATAAAATATATACATTAGTGCCAAAGGGAACATATATTTTGAAATATGAATCCCTGGTAAAACTCTCAGGAATCTACAGTAAAATCCAGGTATCTGCCAAAGGAAACTTGAGAGTAGTTGTCATTTCAAGAAAGGAAATAATGCTAGGTCTCTTATCTTCATGGACTGTTTTGCTTGTCAAATTTCTAACATCACTTCAGCTGAGTTTTGTCTTTGACTTCCAACTTCATGGCCATTTGACCTGCCAACTATTATTTTCTTTGAGGCTTTTAACACTCCACCCAAGTATTTTGCTTTCCACAACAGTTGTGTCCGTTTCCTTTTCATTTCACCTTAACGTCAGCCGAAGTTTACAACGTAGGTTTCAAGTGCATCCTCTAAGGTTTCAGACAGACCCAGGGGCGTTGAGGTGATGACCTGAAGCTGTAAAGTCAAGGTCACCTGGGGGCTCTCTCTTTGTGCCAGGATTTGCAGCCAGCCTGAGTCGCAGGGCTGAGGCCAGGCCCAGAGCACCCGATTCTCCTGGGTTCCAGCCCTCTCTCCAGGCTTACCGTAGAGACTGGAACCTTACAGCAGGAAAACGACGCCCTTTCCTGTCGCCTACTCATTCCCCAGGCGGACTACTTAAGAAGGGAGAGACGAGATGGATTAAGAAGATTAATTTACCCGGAGGAAGGGCGGGGCGCGCAGCGGCGGTGGCCGCAATGACCGGCGGGCGCAGGTGCGGCCCAAGGCCGAATTTTACGCTCCAGAGCCGGCCGCTGCGCCATTTGCCGTCTGGGGCGGCCTCCACTCGCCTGCCCCAGCTTTAGGCAAGTCTCTTTCAGGGACCCTGCGGGAGAGGAAACACCTCCCCCGGGACTGGAAAAACCTGCAACGTCGACTGTTCGCGTGCCCACTTGCCCTACCGGCAGCCCCCGGCGTCTCCATTGCGCCAGATCCACTCTCCAGGTTTTTGGCGACAGCTCCGAGCGGAATCGAGCTGGAAACTGACAGAACGCGACCCTCCCCGCAAGCCTGGGCTTCGAGTGGCCCGGGGACCCGTGGCTCGGCTGAGGCGGCGCGATCAGGTGGCTTCTGCTTTCCGAGAGTCCCCAGCACCCCGCGCGGAGGCTTGTCGGGCTAGATCGGCTCGTTTGGACAAGGAGAGGTGGGCGCACGAGGTTTAATACATGTGTCTGGGTTGCGGGCGGAGTCCCTTTGTCCTCTGACACCGTGCACTAGTACCTCGGGTCCCTTTTTGAACCGAGCGTCCCGAGCGTCTTTGTGCCGAGGGAGCCGAGCACAGCTTCTCCGAGGGAAGCCGCATCCGTGAGGGTAACACTGGGGCGATAACAATGAGCGCCCATTGTCCTTCGAGGTCCCGCTGGCCAGGCAGCTCATGACCCCGGTCCACGCGCCCTCGGTACCCGGGCGCCGACGGGTACCCCCGGCGGTCTGGTCAACTCGCGCCTCGGCCTCCCGCCCCGCCCCGGCCCGCCCTCCGGCCGCCCGGC